GGGCACGCATAGCCTTTAGGAGGCTGATTGAGTGCTCCTGGAGGCTGGGGGGGAATTGAGCAAAAAACCGGCCCATTTTTCACTCATTTCTGCCCTCCCCAGCCCCCAGGAACACTCAAGAAGTCTCCTAAAGGCTATCCACGGCCATTTTGGTGAAGGGGCGGGGTTTCAGGAGGCAAAAAATGCTTTATTCGGTGTATAATATGCACCCAGATTTTCAGCCTCTTTTTTGAGGGAAAAAGATCCGTCTTATACTCTGAAAAATACAGTACTGTGGGGGTGACACCCCTAACACCCCTTGGTGTTTGTGTGTTCTGTTAAGATACAGCCTGTTGAACCTTAAATGGCTTCTACTGTACTGCCGTAAAATGGCTTCTACTGTACAGTGCAGTGGAGTTGCGGAAAGTAACCTCTCTTCAGCTTTGATCAAATGCACTGATACCTACCATACACTTCTCTATGATAGTTTTTATAACTTTTAAAAAAAGTTTAAAGATTCCGATTTCCTACGTAATGTGTCATTTAGTCTGTTCTAACAATGTTGCCCAAATTTTGTATATCTCCTCATTCCATTTTTTTTCCAATTATACAACAGAGAGATAAAAAAGCAGAAAGCAAGCAGAAAAATGGAACCACTTTATTTTCTGAGTGAATAGTAACAGTAGATAGGTACCCAATTATTTCTTACATACCTGGCTAATGACAATATTTTTAATGGTGTGGCCAAGTTTCCAGTGTCCCAACTCATGTCCCAGCACAGCCAAAACTTCTTCATTTTTGCAACCTTGCTTCTTACTCTAGACATGTGAAGAAAAATATTAATCCATCTCTTTAACACACATACGAATGGATAGGACACAATGTTCTTGTTTGGATTACCAGGTCTGGATGGATTTTTTAAAGGGTTTTAAAGGGGCAGGACCCAAGATGCTCTTAGCTCCTTTTAAAACGGGTGAAATAATTGCTTTTTTTAAAGAACTGAATGTTAAAATAAACAGGTCCATAAAACACTGTTAAATTAGCCTATTTTACTACTTAAAACTACACCTCCCCAAACCCAGGCCAAAACTGTCAGCTTTAGCCAGTCTGATGTCTTTTAACTGGCCATTCCTCTTATGATTCCCACCAAGCTACAAAAGCTATAACCTTCAGCTAAGAAAACACTGCCTACTCTTGTTGTATATACAAAGGTAACTTTCTCCAAATTCAGGACTGGAGTAGAAAGCAAACAAACAAACAAACAAACAAACAAACAAATAAATGCTCTCTCTCCCTCCCTCCCTATCTCCTCTATCATCTCATTCATCTATCTTTCTACATCTGCCTTATCTATACCCCTCTCTCTCTCTCTCTCTCCCTCCCTCCCTCCCTCCCTCCCTCC